ATTTCCTTTCTAGAAGTGGATATTTATTTGAGAAAGGGTCACGTTAATTACCTAGGGCACGCAGGGTAACTTGTTTTTCTCGATGGTCAGCGAATGTCGTGTGGTACTCCAGGCTTTACTGACACAGTTCCCTCGCGGAAAATTTGCATACGGGTGCTCGTTCCGTTCAACGAGTACTGGCTAAGAATGCCATGTTGCTGGGCTAATTATTGTTTGACTTGGCAAAAAGGTGTTACCGTATGCCGAGTCAATGATGTCGGCTCCGCCCACAACGTGGATCTCCTGGCCGACACCCAAGGATTATCGGTTTGTGATGTTAACTGAATGGCTGGCATACACTCATATATTAGGCGAAGGTGATGCCGAGACAGTTTTCCATTGATCTCATCCTGTGTGTAGTACCCGAAAGGCGAAAATGTAGTTCGGGGAGGCATTTTGGTACAATAGTTCGTGCCGCCAGCAGTGATCCCAATTTTTTGCGGGGAAGCTCCTGAGAGGGCGAATATTTTTTTGTGGAAAATGGAACTAGGTGATTTCACTCACTACTCAATCCTCTGTATTTGAGTAAGGTGTTTGTTGTGAATTTGAATGCACTGGCTTTGCGTCTACGACGCCACACCTCGCTGAACTACCCCTTGAACCTCTAGAATGTCTACATCACCAAGTTTTTATTGCGGCTGTAGAAGTTCAGAGGTATGAAAAAGTAGACTTACTAAATTGTTTACCTACTTATTATTGCTCATTTTCACTTGTCAAATCAATTGTTGGACTTTTTCTTTTGTGATCACGATGTTGCGACGTTTGTTATGCTAGTTGTGTTAAGCTGTTGCTTTCATCCTTATGATTTTTTATATTCTTTTTCTGATTCCAGTTTTCTTCATTAAAAAAGATTTTTGGTGTTTCCATGATGTTTATTTATTTTTGTTGAATAAAATTAATAGAAAAGGAAGTAGAATCGTTTGTAATTGCGTGTCGCGACAGTGTTACATAAGATGTGCTTGAGGATAAAAAAGCATTTTTATGGTTGTTGGTCCCACGGACAAAACAAATCCGGGTGCTAACTCAGTTGGGGGGACCACGCGGCGGCGCGGCGCTCTGTTCGTCTGCTCCTCTAAGGCTTAGTCCAAGGGGCAGTTACTATTTCGTCGCCACGTGGCAGTTTCGAAATACGCGCCATCGGCGGACTAAGCCTTGGAGGAGCAGACGAACAGAGCGCCGCGCCGCCGCGTGGTCCCCCCCCCCAACTAAGTTAGCACCCAAATCCGCACTGTTTGAGCTCATGTGAACAGTTCAGAGCGCGACATCGCGCATAATTCGAGTTTTGCCTGTCCTATTTGTACACGAATTGCTGGAGAAAGACGCAAATCGTGTTCTGCACGACGTCGCGCTCTGAACTTTTGGCACCCACCCAAATTGTTTTGCAGATTACTTGGTATAGACAGTGTGTAGTTCAGTTTTTGGTACGTCTTTGCAATTTTTGGCACGACTTTTCAACCCACTTGAACGCATAGAGATGGAGTTTCCACGAATGGAATTCGAGGTTCGTCGATCTTGGTTCACTGATTCCATAGTTGGCGAACATGCGGCAGCCGTAATCTCAGCTGTGAAACAGCGTTCATGTAGAAATGATGATTTTGTCTAAGGGCCCCCGTGGGTCATTGCCGCTAAAACTGCGGGCCAAATGAACAGCTGGTAAGGTTTGCGAGTGTAGACTCAAAAGGTCAACTAGAAAAAGAAAAAAAGAAAGAAAAGAACAAAATTAATCCTACAGGCCAAACTGTGGCGGTCGTGAGGTTGGGACGTCTTGATGTTTCTTTTAATGTTCAATTCACTAGCAAACCATTGTCCATCCTATGTAAACTCATTCACAATGCTTACGATTCTTAAGAGCATTGTTAGCGCACGTATCAACAGCCTCAATGAAATCGCTTCCAATTGGTGCTTTTTGATGCCCTTGATGTCATCTGCCTTTTGAGCTGTCGCAGCACCTAGAGAAATTCTTCGTAAAATCTAGTCCGGGTTTTCCTGACCAGATCTTCAGTCCTCTAGATAGAATAACTACTAATAGAAAATTTACCAAATGCTCATCCAGGGGCTTTATGCAGCTGTACCTGACCGGGGCTGGGTCTCAAGGTTCGACTAGGTGAATTCATTCCCTGCGGCAGCACGCAAAACGCCGATAGTGCTGGATCGTTTTGACCAGTCACGCTAAAGGAACCCACCGAAAAATGAGGGGTCGTATAGCACAATCCCCACCGATCTCTTCCAGGATTGTATGGGGACGCTTTAAGGACTACTGTAACTTTTCTCGACGGCCCTATCGCGAATGGCTCGGCTCCAAATTTCAAGGGTGAAGGTGACAGTCATAAGAGTAAGCCTTGGAGGAGAGGGGGACCTCGGCGTGGGTGAGCCAATAAAAGTGTGCAAAAGTTCGAGTGTGTTAGATCACAGTAGGTACGGTCCGCTGTTTAGGTGAGAGTGCAGACGAGAGCATCAAATTGAGGCGGTAAAGGACTGAGTTCATAGACCCTGCTGCACACGGCCCCAAACATTCGAACGAGTTGCGATTTTTGTCGCGCGAGGGCACGTTGGATGTGGTCCGCTGGGACGGAAAACGTCCGCTTTCTGCAGTGATGAACTTTCCTCGCAGGAACACTGGGCTACTTTTGGGCAGGGGTGGACCTGGGATTCTCGCAACGAAAAATTTCGCACTGTAGAACGGAAAAGTTGGCTTCTACCTAAGTAATTATACCCGCGCACCTTCGCTGCTCACCAGATTTTCATGCCTTTATTTTTATACGCATTGATTAATCATTTTCGATTTTGAAATTTCTTCACTATCGAGTATTGTATTCATCTGTTATCTGTCTACCTGTCTGTCTTTCTCTCAATCTATCTGCCCGTCTGTGCATCCATCGATCTATCTGCCTGTATGTCTACTATGTTTTATCTGTCGTGATAACGTCATGAACGAAGACAAATCAAAAGATTTAATACAACACGTGAGTGGTATTTTCGAAGCGAATCTGCGATTACAGTAAGAACCACTTCTTGAACCACATCTCTAATAGTCTATGCCTTTTTTGGCGGAACACTATCAATAGGTCCTAATGATTGTCCTGGTGGCAGAGTAACAGAAGGTTTGGTAGGCTTAGGCTTTCGTTTCTTAGTCGCACCAGGTTTATGCGTCGCTGGTTGCTTTTTAGTCCGTTTTGTGGTAGCCTTTGTAGCCGATGGAGGAGGGGCTGTCTTGGGAGGAGCTGTCTCAGGAGGAGCTGTTTCCGGAGGGGGAGCAGGAGCTGTCTCAGGTGGATTCGCGTGGTGTACTTTTGCAGGGTGCGTTTTAGCTTTCCCTTTTCTCGAACACAGAAACGGATGCTTTTCTGTTGCAACGGCACCACGTAACTTTCCTCTGATGAGATTGCCCTTTTTGATATCCTTCATGTGCATTTTGACTATTTTTCCTCTTCTCGGTGCTGGTGCTCCGCTTGAGCCAGTCCCTGAAAGTTCCAAATGAATAACTGCTTTTTATTTACAACTGACTGGCGCTCCAGTGTGGCAGCGCGGACTTCTCCACTTACACGTTGAACCGTCGCCCTCTGTAATGGAGCGTTCATAGTTGGCGATCGTACGTGCCATAGGCGATTGGGCGATTAGGCGAATAATCGATTAGGCGAGTAGGCGAGTAGGCGATAAGAGAAGGATACGTATTGATTTGTTGCTCCGCCCATTGAGCGATCGCCTACTCGCCTACTCGCCTAATCTACACTCATATTTTTCACTGAGAAAATCGCCCAATCACCCAGTCGCCCAATCGCACGTACGATCGCCAACTCTGAACGCTCCATAGGGCGCATGAAATTTGACGAGCTCCGTTAGAAAAACAGTACTAGAGTTGCCAGAATAAGAGAAGCAGCTCCAACATTTTAACCTCTAACTTTTTGAAGCGATGGGTGTTCGGTTTGCCGTTGAGCTTTTTAGCGATTAGCCTTCTATTGCCGGTGGAAGTTGACTTCATTGGGGATGTTTCTTCACGAACAAGTCACCGTTATCCCCATTTCCCCTCACCCCTTCCTGGAGTCTCGATCTTTCAAGTGCAGAAACGGGTTATCTAGACATTGCCTGCTTTGGTGGAGAGGTGCTCACGGTGCTAGAGAAGCTGACTAAAAGGTACATTTGTGACCGTGCCGAAAATACTGGCGGAAACATGGTTAAGGCTACAAGTCCACCTGGTCGTCAACTAGCCTAAATCGAAAAGCACGGAGGTACTTGGAAGGCCAGTCGAAGTCAAGCGCGGATGGAAGAATAATCTGATGGGTCTTTAATTACGGAATTACCCACAAATAGAAAAGACGGCTGGTCCCACCTCCCGCTGGCTGGACAGAGATCGATTCGTCGAGGAATAACGAAGGTTTGAGGTTTGGGGTTCAAGTTTAGAAAGACGGCTGGTTCGGTGGGAAACCAATTGAGGCATGGGAAACGCTCGAGAGATCGGCGGTGATTTGCTCATCTACTTCATTGAAGGGAGCAATCGCGGTAAAGCGGTTTTAAAGATTTCTTTAAGCGAGACTGGGATTGAAGCAGTTCACACGCACAGTTTGTCGCACTTTAGTACCTCCACTTCTTCAGACACATCCGCTGCGAACATTCTTGTGTAGGCTTCATAATCGGCGACTCACTCGTGCGACTGATTCGCCGGGTATGAATGTGACATAAGTTCCTTGCGAACATAATTACGACTAACATAATTTAACCCTTTCGGACCTGAATTTTTCCCCGTGGAGAAATTTTTCTTCTAGCTATTGTTTATTACTTGTGAGCATATAGGTATCATTATGGCGAAATTTGGAAGCTATTCGATCACAAACAAAGAAACTAAGAAGCTTTGAAAATTGGCCCACCTTCTTAGTTTTTAAGCTTATGTCGAAACAATTCGAAATTTCATAGTTATGCCGAAAAAGTTTATAATCTTGCATAACATTATAACCCATAATTTTGATTTAGGAATGGATCTACTTCAAGTATTTTAAGAAAAAGTGACACTTACTTGGCCGGTTGCGGGGACCAGCGCCGATTCATTGTTGCACTTGTACACAAATACTTGTAATACTAACAGCAACACACAATGAAATGGCAGGTTTAGCTCATAATTAGGAAGGGGAAGGTTGACTGAAGCAACCTCTAGCAGGATTAGAAAAACCATGCTGTTTCAGCGGCAATGCAAGCATTTGAATTTGGTGGTGGCAATTGCCACCGCCAGGGCCGAAAGGGTTAATACGATCATGACTTTTGATTGTCGAAGGCGACGTGTCCTATAGGAAGCCTCAAATTATACGGCCTTTCCAAAGCAAACGTCGTAAATGCCACATTTGGCGTAATTTCTGGTACGAACTGGATGAGTAGACCGAATATGAAAAGATTGTTGTAGAGCTGATTCTGAATTCACGCAAGATGAGACCGCCGTCACACTCGGCGACGGACAAGCGATGGAGCGAACCGATCATACAACATTTTGCCAGTGAAACTCGACCACTACCGTTGCGCTGTGAGAGAGGAGGGCTCTGGAGTGGGTGTGCCAATCATATTGTGGCAAAATTTATTTAAATGCATCAGATCACAGTAACCATAAGCCGCTGTTCAGGCGAGAGAGCGCAGGCGAAGGCATCAATTCGAAGCGGTTTAAAGGACCGAGTTCAAGTTGTCCGTAGACCTTGCGAAGGCACGTGAGCTCTGCTTCTGTCTCCTTCCCAAAGCTTCGATCGGACGAGCGCACCAGGACCCGCGCACCCCACGGCCGATGTCATAGTTTGCGATGGAGCGATTCGTTAGCGAATCGCTCGATTCGCAAACTGTGACATCGGCCACCGGGCGCGACCCTTTAAAAAGTCGTGCGGGAGTCACGACACGCTGTTTTGCTTCATAAATCCGTTCCAAGAATCGTTTAGATTTGGAACGTAGATTTGAGATCAGCGTTCGAAGACACATTTAGGGGTATAGATTTCTTCTTGAATGGCTATGACGACCTGAGCGCGTTTTTTTAAGTACCTAAGATGATGGGATGTGAAGACTGACCTCTCTTCGTCCTGTTCCCTTTATGAGCGATCGGACGGTTCGCATAGAAGTATTCACCAGAAATTCCCACCCACATTTCTTCGTCGCTCTCTTGCATACGAACTGAGAAAAGTGGACTTATCATTAATGTAGCAGACAAAATAATCTCAGCTTTTGTTTTTAGTTAGAGCTGAAAGAAGGTCAGATGAAAGTGAACAGAATGGAGCAAAGGAATTCTCTTCGTTCTATTCAGTCTAGCGCGGCTCCTTCGAGAATGGAACGCTCGAGAAGAAAAGGATCGACACAGTAACAAGGGGGGGGGGGAGGAGCATACGAGGCATCTATTCGTAAGAGAATGGCAAGTAAAAAGCCGAGGAAGATGTGAGCCCCATGTCGTGCTCTACCCAAAGTGAGACAAGTGTCAATGCTGCTGACACACTCCCAACTTCCCCCCTCGGGTACGCATTCCTCCCATCAACCCAGTGCTTAGGGCTAATTGAGGGGCTTACACCTGAGCTTTCATCCACATTTCATTCCCACCATCCTCTTCCATCCCAGCTGCAACTACGCCTGTCTTCACCCTGAGAAATCATTTCTGTTGAGGCGAGAGGGTTCCGAAATAGCAAAAAAATCCCGAATTACTCAAAAATTCAAGGTACTCCAAACCTTAAGAAGTTTTCTGAAAAGCTGTTTGAGTTATTTTTTCAAAGTCCTTGCATCTCAATTAAAGGTGCTAACTTAGTTGGGGGGACCACGCGGCGGCGCGGCGCTCTGTTCGTCTGCTCCTCTAAGGCTTAGTCCAAGGGGCAGTTACTATTTCGTCGCCACGTGGCAGTTTCGAAATACGCGCCATCGGCGGACTAAGCCTTGGAGGAGCAGACGAACAGAGCGCCGCGCCGCCGCGTGGTCCCCCCCAACTAAGTTAGCACCCTAAATTCTACTATACTTTCTTTCAAGGACTGACTGCCAATTTCCACCAGTGCGATTCCATTCGTGAGAAAACAAAACGATATTCACCCCCTACCCTCTCCCCCCCCCCCCACCCCTCCTCATGTATCCTTGGTGTCCTTGGTGTTAACTCGCCCAGACTGGACCACATCGCGATTGTACGAGTTTCTTGAGTTTAAAGAACAGCTATTCTTTGACCATCCTGTGCCACTCTATGTGACTTGAGAGCTTTAGGAATTTCTCTAACTACTTAGCAAAAAAACAAGAATATTTTGAAACTTACGGGCGATCCACTGTCTATCAAATTCGCTTTCTATCACGTGAAAACGGTATCTTTCACCACACGCCTTAGAGTATTCAGTGAAGAGTCCGTTGCCTTTGGTCGTGAAACATCTCTTTCCAACAACGACTTCGCCTGCTTCGCATTCAACAGCCTCTTTTGCTGCAAGGAATGTTTTATTGGAAATGTTTTATTATTATACACGTGACAAACATAAGTGTATTATCGTACTTGTCATTACTTTTGCACGATTAGAGATGCCTAAGACAGCGTTCAGAGTTGGCGATCATACAAGCGACTTAGCGATTAGGCGATGATTCAAACAGAAAGTGTACGTATCGATTAGGCCGAATAGGCGTGTAGGCGAGTAACAAATCGATACGTATCCTTCCCAGAGGCGAGATGGGAAGGATACGTATTGATTTGTTACCCCGCCCATTGAGCGATCACCTAATCGCCTAATGGCGTGTACGATGGTCACCGAAAGCTGCCTAAGCTATTGTTCAGAGTACACGATGCGAGCGATTAGACGTCTAGTCGAGAAGTAAATGATAGTGTCGATTAGGCAAACAGAAGAGTACGCGCTAAGGCGATTGCCCAATGGGTGGAACGAGCCAAACCGATTCGTATGCATCTGCATCTTACTTACCTACTCCTCCAATCGATACTTATCCTTTTCATTCTGCCCGATCGAAGTCAGTGCTCCCAATGGAAGGAATAAGGGTTAACCCTTTGTGCGGTTGGCCGATCCTGACGGGGGTTGTATTTCTGGTTTTTGAAGGAGTTGGAGGGTCGCATTTCTGGTCGTATGTAATTTTGAGGGTTGCCATATTGTATAATTTCCGAAGTGGTTGTGGTGGCGAAAGCTGAGTTGTGTTGTAGTGGAGGGAAGGGAATTCAATGCCGCGGGTAAAGCCAGATCAGGCAGTGACGAGCGCACCGTTCATAGTGAAATGTGCCCCGCTCCGCCCCCTTTTAAGCGATGCCCAGGACCAGATTTTCAGTATTGATCTTCCCACCCCTCCTTTCCTCCAATATGGAAGTAGGGATGGGAAATGGATCGCAGTGGAGAAAATGTAAAAAGGCGTAAAAATCATCGAAAATAGAAATCTTCTTGCTCTAAGGTGCGGAGAAGTTTAAGGGGAGATGCGAGATAAGAGGTTATGTAGGTCGCGGGGGGGGCGGGGGGGCAGAGAAAGAACCACGAGTAGAGACAGGAATCATTAACAGGGTCATCGTCAAGTTTCGAACCATTTTTCGGCGATTTTTGCGAAAAAAACCCAACCCTCTGGACGAGGGCTCCACGTTTGCGCGGGACCCCCCCCATGACGACCAGCCTTATCCCGCCACCGTTCCAAATAGCGCCCCTCGAGCGGGGGTATATACAACCAGTGAAACGGCAACTTTTTCCGCACGCACCTATGTCCTGCGCCCCTGATGACCAAACGTAACCAGCAGTGCGCAATGCGACCCCTCTCCCCTCCCAGAACACGAATGCGACCCCCCGTTCGAACAGTCCGAACGAACGGTTGACCCTGCAGCATACATCAACACCACGACATAGACAAGATGTCGAATGTCAGGGACTGATTCTTTCGTGCATGGGATGATCCTCAGAGGCGCGAGAGTGGCGCAACCGCTGCAGTGGTAGATCTAGCAGCTCTATCCCAGAGAGGGACTTTTCGGTGAGGGCTGAGCCCAGAAGCTGCTTTCGATAGACCAGCCTCCCTTAATGATAAATACATTTTCCGTTCCTCGACTTTCTTCTATCGTACAATCTATGCGTAGAGGACAAAGGCTAGACCCGTTTCGAAAACAGACTTAACGAAAGGGCAAGTCATGGACGGTTTGAGGGCGTTAGGATAGGGCACGGCGGACAAGGAACGTATGGGAAGCGCGCCTTGTGCGGCCCGTATGAGCCGACGCATTGAAAATAGGAACGCGTTTCATTTTGGAGAATAGAAAAAAAAACGATCGAAAGAGTAGGATGCAGTAGGCTAGTAGAGAATGTTATTGCCATAGGTATAATAGGCAAGCAAGAGTTCCTCAGAAAAACTCCAAAAACCATGTGGAATCGTTATCGTCGCCAACATTTGTGACAGATGTACGGTGGGAACTTGGACACCTAGCAGTCTTTCCGATTTTTCGATTGTTCTCTAAAACAATGACATCTTTTTGTTCCTTTGAGATAGAATCATGATTTTTTTCTTGTGGACGAGTTATTGATTCAGTGATATTTTATGTGGACGAGTTATAGATTTCACAGTTTTGCTTCGCCCGCTATCGCGCGCATCACACGGCAGGCTTTAGCGAAATTGGAGGACCCATGGAATATCAGCATGAGATACTCCATTCAACCATCTCACTATTGACTGTGTTAGACCCTCCACAGTTTCACTGAAGCTCATCGAGAATACGCGTGATAACGTCTCTGAGCTGTGGTATATTGATCACAACTGTAAACATCCAGCATTTTTCTTGAATTAAGATAATTTAGCGGTGAATAGGATTGCTGTCAGTCTCAAAATCAAAACGAAATATGCCTATTTACATAAGTGAGGAGCTAATGCTTATCATTCATTTACATTCATCATTATTTAGAACCACGAAAGGATTAGCGGTTTAATGAGTTTGGGTTTTCTTAATAGTCAGAAATGAAACTTATCATTTGCTGAAGACTTGTTTTTTAAAGTTTATGCAGTCGAATTCTATTAAGTAAGCTGGATATATCGAAATAATGTGCACGTACCTTTGTTTGTACTACTACTACAGACTATTTGACTTACTACAATTTGTAAGTAGGAACGCTCTAGCGTCAACGCTGCGTAACGGAACTAACGACTTTCAGCGTTCTGACGCGCCTTATCGGCCCTTATCAATCGTTATCAGTTTCTGGCACCCACCAACAATGTCCCCGTCCCACCCCACATAACACTTGTAAGTATGGTTGCTCTGGTGTCAAGGCGAGCCAGGCAACGGAATCGACGACTTCAGCGTTCTGGCGCGCCTTATCGGCCCTTATCAATCGTTATCAGTTTCTGGCACCCACCAACAATGTCCCCGTCCCACCCCACATAACACTTGTAAGTATGGTTGCTCTGGTGTCAACGCGAGCCAGGCAACGGAATCGACGACTTCAGCGTTCTGGCGCCTTATCGGCCCTTATCAATCGTTATCAGTTTCTGGCACCCACCAACAATGTCCCCGTCCCACCCCACATAACACTTGTAAGTATGGTTGCTCTGGTGTCAAGGCGAGCCAGGCAACGGAATCGACGACTTCAGCGTTCTGGCGCGCCTTATCGGCCCTTATCAATCGTTATCAGTTTCTGGCACCCACCAACAATGTCCCCGTCCCACCCCACATAACACTTGTAAGTATGGTTGCTCTGGTGTCAACGCGAGCCAGGCAACGGAATCGACGACTTCAGCGTTCTGGCGCGCCTTATCGGCCCTTATCAATCGTTATCAGTTTCTGGCACCCACCAACAATGTCCCCGTCCCACCCCACATAACACTTGTAAGTATGGTTGCTCTGGTGTCAAGGCGAGCCAGGCAACGGAATCGACGACTTCAGCGTTCTGGCGCGCCTTATCAGCCATTATCAGTTGCTATCGCTTCCAATCATGTACCACCAATGTCCCGGGACCGCCCCACATAACACTTGTAAGTATAGACGCTCTTTACCAATATGAACGGCAAAACGAAATTGGCGATGCTCGCTTTCTAGCCCCTCTTATCAGCTATTATCAGTCGTTATCAGTTCCTATCACGTACCACTTGTGTCCCCATCCCACCCCCTATAACATATGTAAGAACCACTGCGCTATCGTTACTGTGACTCGAGCTATGAATTTCCGTTCAAACATACACACACACACACACACACCAACAGACACACGCTAGCCGCTTATATATAGTAGGATATTTTTATGGAGAGTTTGTAGAATTCATGTTCATTTTTTTCTGTGGATGGGTCGTTTTAGCAAAAAATGATTTGTAGTCTCACCGTAAACGCATTTGGTCTCTTCTCCATGCGTGGAATCTTTGACATTGAACGGCAAAGCGCCTGCACACATCTCTGTGGCTTCTGCAGGGGTGCCTGTGGAGAAGCGGAAAGTCACGGTACAATGATCTTTCTGAAAAAATTATTCCTGTTGGGCCTATATTTTCCCTAAGTGTCCCATAGTGATTTGGCAGCATACCTGATAGACTCCTATTCCAAGATTTGGAAGATTGTGGCAGTAAATCTTGAAATTATTGAATGCTAAAAGTAAGTGAGCGTATATTCATGAAAGCGGACCAAAGTTGGCTTTGAAGTATGATTAAATACTCGCCATAGACATGGAAGAGAAGCAGGCAGAGAAATGTCACCACTGCGCTGCACCATGCCATGCTCTTGTTGAAGACTGCTAATTGATTAGACCTAAAGACAATGAGAGTATCTTCCCAGTTATACAGGAAATGGCCAATTAATTGCCGGTGTGATAGCTTGAGGCACGTCCCGCGATCAAACAGGTGTTACACATTGTACTTGGAAATGTGTCCAGTTGTGCTATTTGATCCATTAGTTATGGAAGAAAACAAAAAAGCTGCTAAGAACAGTTGAAATCACATCGCGCGTCGACTCTGTGGGCGGGGTTTGCACCACGCCCCTGCAGGAATCTCATTGGTCAGCACTGCTCTTGATGTGACAAAATACAGCTAAGTACAGCAGAGAACTGTGACCAACCAATGAGACTACCGCAGGTGCGGAGCGCAAACCACGCCCACTGATCAGCGCAGTGCGTGATTTCGAGATTATTAGCAGCTTTCTCTCCTCTCCTTCATGACAAGTGGACCAATCGTCACAACTACTCTTATTTTCGGGCACATTAACACACACCTGTTTAATCGCGGAATGTGTCGTTAAGTACGCTCGATGTTTTTGAGGCTGTATTCACGCCTAAAGCGTTTGCCGCGGTTACTACGTAAGTGTAACATTTGGAAATGAAAAGGTATGGTTATTGATCTATCTGTAATGAAGATACAAAGGTGGGACTGCAAAGAACCCTCGAAGGGTCCGCTCCACAATTGGGAGTGGCTACTGTGCACAAAGGGTGAAGGGAGTCAGTAAACTGCCGAGAAGTCTTGAAAACACATTGCGTGTTGTTCTTGTGGACGGGGTCTGAGCCTCACCTCTACCTTCCCATTGATAAGACTTTCCTTTATCGTATTTCAGCTTATCAGCAGTAGGGATGAGAAGGTTGGAGGGCGTGGAGTTCATAACACTAGCGCAGTGATATTTTTAGGATGCTTGGCAATTTCGACTGCTTTCTTTCATTACTTGTAGACAATTTTTTTACCACATCTCTCATTTTTGTTCGCAAAAACCCATACATGTTCATTAGCTAAATGTGCCTTTGAAGATGCTTGTATGCTAACGGCATGGGCATAGATTCTCCCG